CCCCCCCCCCCCCCGACGCTGCTGCTGCTGCCGCTGCTGCTGCCGCGTACACCATGGTGTGCGAAACAGGTATCGCAAGCTGCCAGACATCACCTCCAACGACAGGGGCAAGGTGGGCCACGGCACCCGGGCGGCCATCAACACCCCCATCCAGGGCGGCGCGGCCGACGTGGCGATGGTTGCCATGATCGGGATCGTCCGCAGCCCGCTTCTCAAGAAGCTGGGCTGGAAGCTCCTGCTGCAGGTGTCTTTTGTTCTTTTCTTTTTTTTTTTGTGTTTTTCTGGCAAATGCTCTGGTGTTACATTTACCGTATGGTTGTTTTTTGAGGGAGGTAGGTCCTGAGCAGTTTCGTCCTCCCGGTGTAACTTGTCTTTGTTTTTGTTTTTGTTTGTCTCCCCTTCCTTTTCCCCGTGCTCTCTGTTTGCTGTCCACGTGGGACCCTCGGACGCGTTGCTCCCCTCTGTTTTTTTTTTGTCTGTTGTCGTGTTGGTTGTTTTTTTTGTTGTTGCTTGTTGTTGGTGTTGTTGTGCTTGTTGTTATTGTTAGGGTTATTTCTGTTGCTGTTACTTGTTGTTGCTGTGGTTGTTGTTGTGCTTGTTATTATTGCTGTTGCTTGTTCTTGTTGCTGGTACTGATGATGCTGTTTCTGTATGTTTGGGCAGGTACACGACGAGGTGATCCTGGAAGGACCGGAGGAATCGGCGGAGGAGGCGCTTGCCGAGACGGTTCGGTGCATGCAGCAGCCGTGGGACGGAATTGGCCTGAGAGAGCTCCGGGTGAGGGGGAACATGAAAGCTTGGTTCGCTTCTTACCACTGCTGCTGCTGCTGCTGCTGCTGCTGCTGCTGCTGCTGCTGCTGCTTCTTGCCACTGCTGCTGCAGAGCAGTACTCCTTTGTTGTTCGATTGGACACGGGATGGTCGGCGTTGATATTTTGGTGCACTTAGTGTCGTTGTGGTCCATGATTCTGCTGCACCGCTGTACCCTCTTTGCGTCTTGCAGCTACTCGATTTTGGTGTGCGTTCTCGCACCAATTGTTTTGTCGTGTGTGTTCGTTTTCTTGTTGTGTAGTTACCTGTTCAACGTTACGCTGCTGAATGCGTGTGTCGCTTTGTGTTTTTGCCAGGTGGACCTCTTGGTCGACGCCAAGTCCGCCAAGACCTGGTATGACGCCAAGTAAAACGAAACGCCGGGCGGGTTCCGGCCAAGCCGATCGAGAGCAGCTCTTGCCCCAGGAGGAGGGGCCCACCCCTTTCCCTGTCGTATTGATCGTGTACGAGTCGCCGGAATGCTGCTCTTATCCTACTGCGTTGCAACACCAGCCCGTTCGGGTATCGCAAAGACGGTCGCGAGAGAGGAGGAGCGTGCGAAGGCGCCGGGTGGTGCAATAGGTGTGGGTGCAACACGCAGATATGCAGGGGGAGGGGGTGCATGTGACGTGTCATGTTTGGTAGAGCGGTCGAGAGAGCTAGCTGCTCTTGCAGTTCATCGCGCCATCGCCGGCGCGACTCGAACAAAAGGAAAGCGGCGGGTGGGTCGCCCTTTTCCATCCATCCACGAGGACCCCGTGTCCAGTTGACCCCCAAAGACCATGCGTTCGTGTTTGGTCGAAAGGTCATGTGCAGGGGGAGACGCGAACACGGCGTTCACATGCGACTGGGTGGCACCATCCCATGCTGTACTGCACGGCGTCGGTTGAGAGTCACAGGCGCTCGTCGTACAACAACAGAACTGTTTCCGCACTGACCGTACTGACTGCTGTGTACGGGGAAGGAATGTAGCCCCTGTACAGGTTAGTCTTATCCCCGTGCCGTTGCGTACGCCGTCGCCGCTGTTACCGCCTCTCCGTTGGTGCTGCCTACGGTAGTTGTCCGGTGATGTGTGCCTTGATCGGTTTTCCGGCTGTACCCAGCTCGTAAGGGAAAGAGGCACTCATCGCTTCTTCGGGGGTCTTGTCATTTTTTTTCCAACAGGCGGGAGATGAAAGTACAAGACGCCGCAGTGACAACGGATGTGTCGCTGTTTGTTAAAAGCATGGATGTGGTTCTACAGGTTTCTAGCAGCGTTTATCGCGTTTTTTTTTTTTTTGTCTTCCTTTCCGTCCTGCTGACGGGTGTGCCGTGTACCCTGCAATGCGACGCCTTCTTGACAGAGCTACAGCAGTAGTAAGTCGTTCAAAGCAACCCATTCGTTCGTGATGTGGACTCGAGAGGGAGAGTGCCACCGAAAACATCGTAAAAGAGAGCCGTTTCGATGTGATTAGTCCGGTCCGAAAGTTTTAGGTATTCTACTCGTGCTCTTTCCTCCCCCCGTACAGTTGGGCGCTTCTGTGTGGGGACGCCATCGTGTAGTTCTCGCGCGCGCTCGAACACGCTGGGCACTTGTTTTTTCGTAGGGGGGCCTTCACGGAGTCCATGGATGATGATGGTGATGATGATGCCGCCGCCTTGGGCGTTGAGGGTGGGAAGCGCTTTGGTCCCACACAGCTGTCTGTTTATTGCAAATGTTATTGCTCAGATGGTATGCGTGGGGGGTGATGGTGGTGGTTGGAAGTGCGTCGTTGGGTACACTGCACGCCCACCTTTTTTTGTGTTGGGGAACATTTGGCGGTCGCTGTAGGTTGTCGTTGTTGGTGACCTCGCTTGCAGGTTTGTTGTAGCGGGTAACGGCTTCATTCATCGGGCAGGCCTTGGATTTCAAAATTGACTTGACGTGTGTAGAGCTTTGCTACATGTAATCGCTAATGTATGTCGTAACCCCTGCTGTGGTATGCATTCACTTTTCAGCCTCCCCGCTTTTTTTGTCTGAAACCACTCAACGAGTATGAGGCAAATCAGCAAACTAGCTGTCAAAACCAACAACCGTGATGTGCTTCCACGAAACTCCCTATTTAAAAGTCAGTCACGGAGTGTTCGTGCCTTACCGTTGGCGAAAAGCGAACGCCATCTGCAGCAAGTCGTATCACCACGCTCGTCTGTATGAGTGTATACTAGACCCTTCTCTCTCGCGAATAAATCGTGTTTGTGTGATGCAATACTGTAGCAAGCGGGCATGCTTGTTTGTCGGCAACATGATGGTGTATCCGTTGAGCCCACAGCAGTCTGTGTGACAGTACGCCACGGGGTGAACGGGTGAACGTCTAGACGACGCCGCCCCATTCGATTCTCTACGTGAGAAAAACCCTTGTCGTTTCTGCTCTATTTCCCGGCGTAGTGAACTACCGTATATGACACAAGATAACACACCCCCTGGACCGATGTTTCAAGCTAGATTACTCCACGACGAAGGAGATGCATAAACGAAATGATACATTTTCGAAAAGCTCTCAACGAGACGGTTTCAACGCCGCCATTTTCGGCGCTGTTACTGTTTCTGCAGTTGAGAAATCGAGCTTTGAAAATTCGTCGAGGGGGTGTGTTATCTTGTGTCATATACGGTATGTACCTGTATGGTGTCGGCGTCGCCGTTGCCACGGGCCTCGAGTCCACCTTTTCTACATAACTGCTGTAGCCCAAGCGACTCTCTGCAAGATTTCCCCTCGACTGTTTACGAAGAACTCATAGATCCACGAAACAGTGACATGTCCAAAACTAAGCCGCGCACCCCTCACTGATCACAGACCCGTAGAGCAACCCTTGCGGGTTTTTTTATAGGGCCTATTCGCCAACATCAGAGACCTGTCCCCGGGCGCTTTCCGCCAGCAAAGACAGTATACGTATCCTCCCCAAGTCTTGAGGAGGTTGGTCATGCGTGGGTCTCACGAGAGCCTGGTTGCCTGCCTCTGGAGGAGGTAGCTCCAAATACGGCATGGTTGCCATGCATTTGTGTGATGTACACCAGTTCACCATTCCATCCTGGCCGTATTTACGGCAGAAGGGTTTTCTGCTGTCCTCTTCGACACTGACTATCCCTTCCGTACAAAGCATAAAGTCGGGCATGCTTGAAGCATCACGCGCTGCCCAGTTCCCAGCTCGTTGGGAGGGAACATAGGTGCCATTCAGGGCAGGTCGCTGTTACCGATATAGGGCAGACCCGACAAACGTAGAGGAGCAGGAGGTTGCTTGGACTTACATTGATTGTTTCTGGGCCTTGCTCATGTCGAGTGCTGGAAGAGTGACAAGAGAGCGGGGACTCGTGCTCCCCGCTCCCGACTCTTCCTCTACCAACTTGTCCAACACCAACTTGTCCAACACAATCTACATGAATTATATGCGGCACAAACACGTAGAGACCGTCTTACTGACGATGCCAACCAGATCCTCGGGACTCTTGCCTGAGTATGGTCCGGTGGATGGTACCTTACCCCCTCGTACAGCAGCAATACTGTTACAAATGGAAGTAACGCCATTGTCCACAGCCAGTATACCACCACAACAATATCCGCTAGTGTTGTATCAGCAAACAAGCTGTTCGCTTTGCCTCCCCCCATGTCCTTGGGGGCGTGAATAACAGCACGAAATCCTTGACGTCCACCTGGTCTTTGAAAGAAGAAACCAACACAACCTTTAACTCCCTCACCTTGACCGGGCTACCCCGCTTGATTGGTCGACCCCACCCCCCCTATCTTACGCACAAGGTCACAACTAGACGCATACAAGTGGTTGAAATCAACTGACAGAATTTCTGGAGTTCACCGACCCGGTACAAGTCACTTGGGTACAAATGGTGTCGCATGAAAGCCGTCTTTTGGTCGGAAGAACTCCGGGTGGTAGTTAAAGTCGTTGACAAGAACCTTGACGCCCTCCCTGTGTCGCGCTTTCGCGTCGTCGTAAATGGAGGCGATTTCTGTTGTCTTGGCCTTGTACATCTTGGCAAACGGTCCCAGGTCCTGGTCAAAGCTGGCCGTCCACCGCATGTTTGCATCTATCCGACTCTCGATCTCTCTCTTCTTTTCACTCAGCTGTTTGGATTCGGTTGAGGAATTTGCCGAATACAGGGACACAGAAGGGCATGAATTTTACGCGAGCGGTCAGGTTGTCGCATTGCCGGAGCAAGCCGAAGAGTTGCCGCCGTCGAGCCCTTCACGTACTGGCAACTTATTAGTAGGTGTATGATGATGTTTTCGTGGAGAAAACATGAGCTCTAGAGAGCCGGCAGGGTTCACATTGGGGGCATGATAGAGAAGTACAGAAGGAGTACTCTACAGTTCTAGGTTGGGGTCTTCATGCCATCTCCCTGATCGCCTCAAACTGATCATTGGATTATATACTGTACAGGGTAGTTCAGGCGAGATGAGGAATCATCATTTCAAGGTCTGCAACCCTAGTGCGCTTTGCTAGCCGCACCGCGACCACCCAACAACCTTTGCATGATCCTATGAGTTGCCATCGCTGTCGTCCCAGGCCGCCCTCATGACCTTTAGGTGGAGATAGCTGTTGCGTCTACAGAAGAAGTGCACGTACTTGTGTCTTTTACTGCACTTCTCTCTCGCTCTCTCTCTATCTCTCTCTCTCTCTCTCTCCCGCACGTTCTCCCCCTTCTCTGTTTCTCTGTGGTGAAAAAATAAAACAACCCTTGAAAGGGAGATTGGAACTGACAGTCCAGTCCTTAGGCCGGCGAGTTAGCCTTGACACCTAGACCCAAAAGGGTTCATAGGCGTCTGGTCGTGAATACACATGACGGGGGAAGGATTGACTCTAGTCTGCTGCCTTTGAAAGTAAGTCATCGAAACGTGACATAGTTGTGTAAGGTGTTCACAGATCGGAGTTCTTGACTCGAGACAGGTAAAACCGTAGGGTCAATGGAGACTCTCAGCACCAGAAACGGTCTAAACGTCGTGACAAGGGATTCGTCGCATGCGGATCGATGACATGGCATGACTGGTACACATGGTCGGAAACTGACAGGTACGCCGGGGAAGAAGCGAGAAAACCACGGGCTGCTGGGAGATGAACGAGTTTGAGGTCAAGCATCACAGAAAAATGGTGACACCAAAGGTAAAATTTACTTCGAATTAAGACTGTGAGGTCAGCTCTTATGGCTCGGGGCACCCATATAGGGGGCCGAACAAAGGCCACGTCATTTAGGTAGGACCAGGAGATTGCTCATCACGTAGCTCCACTTCTGTTGGCCTGAGTTTCTAGTACCTGAGATAACCGTCGTTCAAACTCGAGCTTTCCGGCCTCATCAGCTTTGATCTCTTCCTCTTTTTGCTTGAGCTTGTTCGCGAGAGTCTCCAGCACGCCCTAGATGAGGCGGGATACCAACGGTTCGTAGCGCACATGCTGGGATATAAGCTTTGGGTCACGCCCAACGATGTGCCCGATTTTCTATTTTGTGTGTATTCATGCAGTACGCTACTGTCTTTTATTCAGCAAGTAATACGGTACTCAACGAAGCTCCCACCCGTGGTACTGCATCGCAGAAGCTCGATAGCTTGTTGAAACATCACCAGTCGTCTGTCAGCCGACAGGTCACATGAAACACCCAACTGCGACGAAAAGGCGAAGGAAGACAAGCTCTCTGAGATCTACTGTTGCTACTGTGAATAGTTGAGTACCACTATGATGGTGCTGCAGAATGGGTGGGCTCACAGGACGGCAGCGATGCCGAAAGATTGTGCCGATCCACGCGTTCCAAGAGCGCAGGGAGTTCTTGGTGTTGAAATGGGCGTGCATGTGTCTTGATAGGAAATCTGCGCACCTTTATCCCACTTGCGCACCGATTCATTCCTTGAACGTGTTTCGTGGTAATAGGAGCCATGTCGGAGGCCGTGTACCTGCTGGAGTGCCGATAGAGGTATCAAGGAGCTTGGATAAGACTGAGAAAGGAGGAAGGAAGAGCCTGTGCATGCGGCGGAACTAGCAAACTGCGGCGGAACTATTTTCGGTTCGGGTCTCATGCACTTGACAACTTGACAAGGGATGATGAAACTGCCTATTGAATCCACGATATTTGTCGAGTGTATACACACGTGGAAAAGAAAGAGGATGCCTCATCGTCCCTGCTAAACAGGTTCCACGAAGTCCACACCGGTGAGCGTATGTTCAGGCACGTGCTATCTCAGTCGTTGTCTCGCACGTACTTATTACAATGCCGTGACACAAACTCGTGTTCCTACCTTGAGTGGATCCCTGCCCTCGTCCTTTACCAGTACACACAAGATTCGTGCGTATACCTACAGCTCGCCTCCTCTGTGCTAGGAATCATGAGTTGTGCTTACATAGTGGACTATAATCGTGTATTTCATCGGTAGCTCAGACGGGACTTCTCCGACAGCTCAACTTACCATATCCAGCCCACCTCTCCGCTACCAACAACAACAGATAACCGAGGCTCGGCAGCACAAACGAGAACAACATGGGGGCCAAGAAGAAGGGAAGGAAGAAGGGGAAGAAAGGGAAGAAGGAGGAAGTCAAGCAAGAAGAAACAGGTACAATGGAGGACCAATGCCGTGTGCTGGTCCTGATGCTTAATGGCATTGTACGGTATTGATTTGTGAACACCGGAGGCTGACCTGAGCTTGCTCACCACATGTGCACGAATCTACATCTAATCACCAGAGGTTATGACCCTAGGGAGCCTGGCCAATCTACCACATTCTACCATGTTTCGAAACACATTTTCCGCTTCTCGGTAGATCAAGCTAGCTGACTAGGCTCGTCTCGTGAAGCGATTCATGTCACACCTATTAATCAACTGGGATGATGTTTAATCAACACAGGGCCGGCAACACCTGCGAAGGCTTATGTCGTTTTGCAAGACTATCAACCCCTTGGCCAGCACCTCAATGCTTCATCCCGACACTTGGTTTAAGATGAATTCTTTTTCGTATTCCGATGTGACGAACGCACCCACGTGGCTACAATTCTCTGTTGTACCCATAGGCAACACAAGTAGGCCATTCATCTCTCGATGAAATCCTGTAACTCGATCAATCGTCGGAACTACGATCTTCGTCTTTTCGCCGGACAATTTCGGCAGAATATGATAATATGGATCTCGAGATGCTGCAGGAGGTGGTTCCAATGCTCAAGCAGCAGCTGGAGAAGTCCATGCTGGACCGTAACTACGTTCAACTCGAAAGGGTGAGAGGTAGACCCATCCGCCGATAACCGGGTACCAGAACGGGAAAAATATTCACGTTCTCCAGGATGTGTTGACGATGCGGTCAATGCACAATACCCCTCAAAACACCGTTGTGCATGCTAGACCTGTTAGTCCCAGTGTTGTTGGGAAGACGCGAACGATCATAACTGGGAGAGGCGGGAAAATGCATGCTACGTTTCAGCCAAGCGTAGAAGAGAACAGGAAACGCCTGCATCTTTCCTCAGACACGGTAACATGCCGACAACGAAACCTCTACTCCGAGTGCACTCCACCTGTGATGCTAAGCGACCTCGAGCCCGGCGGATGGAGTCAATTGTCTGGATTCGCCAGTCCAACCCAGCCAAGGTTTACCCCTTGAATACCCGTGCCCTTGCAGGACACCATACAAACGTTCTACGACATCACCCGCCAAGAGGTCAAGACGCTGGAGCTCAAGACTTCTGCGAAGGACAGGGAGATGGAGCTGATGGAGGACAACCACAGGTAAAGGCGACAGCGTCTACCTACATGAACCTTCTGTGGGGTGTGACATTTATTCGCTGTGTTCGTTGGCACGCGCTCGCCCGTCCGCGACACCGTGCCCTGGACGATGGCCAGAGCATGGTATCTACCCGCGCGAGGATGGAACATGCACCTACAAATTACTTGATGGTCAGTTCGAGTACATGGGAACACGATGGGGCGCTAGTTACCAACACGACCGCTCGGTCCCTTCGCCCTGTGCCATATTGTCGCAAGTGCGCGGGTGCTTTTCCGAAGAGTACCCGCCAACGGCTCTCTGAAGCACGAGAAAAAGACACGCCGGGGGGGTTGACTGTGATGCGGCTTGTTCTGTACGGTGTGTCTCATCTCGCTTTGATGGGGGAGTCTTGCAACTGCAAGAAGAGCAGAACGGTTGAAAGGATTATTTCTGTTGACCTTTTCGCGCCGGCTTCAGCCCGAACGTTGGGACCCGAGGCACGAGCCGCAACTAAACACAGCATCCTCAGCCGGAGAGCTTCGCCCAGGTACGTGGAGATGTCTACCACGACGAGCATACACACAAACCCACCCGCGTTTCCCCTCGCACACAACTTCTCCCTTCCCCCCCGGGCGCATTACACGCGTGCCTCTCTCTACCCAACCCCGCCTGCCGGATGATGTTGGCTTCTTGCCACGTGCCCAGGGTGGAAGTCCGCGTGTACGTGCAGAAAGTGAAGCACCTGGAGTACGAGCACCAGAATAACCTCAAATCCATCACCATGGACGGCGAGCAACTCTTGAGCGGCGAGGGCGATCTTCACGGGTAAGCCATGTGGAACATGCACGATGATGATCACGATGTTGCCGGGGCGCATGCGCTAGGTTAAATGACAAAGGAGTGTGACCATTACTGGATTTCTGGCGTGGCCATCGACGTTAACGTTGCTGGAGGAAGCCTTTCTTCCCTTCCAAAGATTCGCTTAGCGCCGTCCCCTCTGGTTGTCGGTCGTTTCCCCTTTACGCCGTGAAACTTCGATCATAGGCCAAGACTGAGAACATCCCGCTGCTGAGACCCCTTGTACATCCCTTTTCATTGCTACCGAGATAGGTAGCGGGCGTATGTGTTAAACGAGCCCCACGCGCTCCTGTGGCGTACAATATGGCGAACGCAAGGAAATGCAACGTGTACCTGGCGATAAAATCAAAGACTGTGCACCTGTTCGCATGTGGGTTTGACCTGCTTGCCCACGGTGGGTGTTTCTCTCTCCTTTCTTGTCCCGAGCGCGCAGCAATCGAAGCTCGGAGCTGCACCGAGTAAAGAAGGATATCAAGAGCGAGGTCGAGGAGCGTTACCTGCTCAACGCCGAGGAAATCGCCCAGGTGCGTACGCCACGTTAGACTCAAGCAGGCAGGCAGCTCCATGGTACTTGTCAGTCGTCGATGGCACAAGCGGCATAATAGAGAAGTAGACCAGCTGAGTCGGCTGTTTTGGGGTGAAACGGGAAACCCCGCGGGGGTGCATGCTATGAGAAAGAGGGCGTTACACGCAGACAGAGCGTTTAGAAACAAACGTCCCGAAGCCGTACGCAAGCTCCGGAAACACTCAACAACCGATCCGTATTTCGAAATGTTCCTGGTGGGGGGTGGCGTCGCGACTACCGGCGTTCCTATGACACTGGAACCTTGACTGCTATGGCACATTTCCACCAGAGCTTCACCGACCTAACCCTCCCCTCTCCGAAGGAACACATGGGCGGGTGTCGAAAGAAGCACCATGGTGCAACGGCCAGTTGACAATAATAGTCGGTTGATTGCAAACACCCGGTTCCACAGCCGGTAGACAAAACCGGTTCGAAATCAAGTTAACCATCCGTGATCGAGTGTGAAATACTGAGAGAGACAAACGAATCCATTTCGCTTGCAACCACGGCCGTGGAAAAACACTGAGCTGCGCGGGAAGGAAAAAGTGGCACCGTCCCCTCGGAATGACTCGCGGAGGCGGACGATTGCATCTCGATACCGGTTGGCTCCTCGCGTTACCTTGTGATATTGCCGTTCTCCTCTTCTGTAGTCTCCGCCGCGTGCACAAACTACGTGAACATTTAAGGCCGACGCCCCATGCCCCAACAACATCATAGGTGAAGAAGGCGCACGGGAAGACGCTCACAAAGATGCGGGAGGGTTTCGAGGTGAGCCTTTCGGAGCTGAGAGCCCGGTGCGACGCGAGGCTGGCCTCTCTGGAGGACGACTTGGAGCTCCGGAGAAAGGTATAATACCGCACGATATGCTGTGATACCACCGTATCGTATGAACCCTGAGTGCTGCCCACGCGATGCTCGCATGTACATTGCCGGAACTTTACCGAAGAAGCGGCTGGCGAGGTTTTCTGGCTACAACTCGTTGAATTTCATTCGTAGTCCCGGCGCGGCAAACGTTCCGATGACGTCACCGTATCGTTGTCCACGTGGACCGAACATCAAACAACGGGTCGATGAAGCTTTTGCAATGCCTCGCTTTGCGTGAACTGCCATCCGTGATGTACATGGTGAAGGTCTACAGGTTTCTCTCCCTCTCTCTCTCTCTCTTTCTCTCTCTCTCGCTCGCTCGCTTTACCTTGAGTCGAGTGTCATCGACGTTTCTTCCTATTTACCTTTCGAAAAAAGCGAATCTCCGTCGTCCAAGAGTTGCTTTGGCGGTTTCACTGCTGTTTCCTGGTGCACACGCCCACCCACCCGCCCGCCTATTGAAAACCAAGGACGATTTTTGTTCTTTCGTTGCCTGTTGTGCCCCTCCAAATGACGATATGGACACGTGTTGTGTTGATGCCTCGGTTCGCCTTTGCTGAAGGTGGACATTCACGAGATCGAGGAGCGAAAAAACCTCCACATCAACGACCTGATGAAGAACCACGAGAAGGCCTTCGGGCAGATGAAGGCCTACTATAACGACATCACCAACGATAACCTTAAGGTGACGGTGCATGGCTTGATGTGTTTTTGTCTAGCGAAGAGCAGCCGAGACGACGCCGACAAAGTCATTAGCTTGCTATCACTCATCGCAGACAGCGACATATCTTTTCCCCGCCCCCCCTACCCTCTCTATCGCGCATCGCAGAACGGCTGCGTGTTGACTCTCTCCGTTAGCTTTGGTGATTCCTGCCGTCGCCGTCTCCTGGTCATTCATAACGCTTTTTTTTTTGTGATGGGGGGATTCCTGTGGGACAGTTGATTCGCTCCCTGAAGGACGAGCTGGTGGAGATGAAGAAGAAGGCTGTGGCTAATCAGAAGCTCATGCTGGACATATCACATGTGAGCGATTTGTTACTTGTGATTGCTTGGCACTGACTTAGTTGTTTAGGCATCACAAACGTACGACATACGTGCGATTGGATACACTTGGTACAATTTACAGCAGGGAAATAGTTACTGATGCTACGGTTAGCTCATGACCCTCAGCACGCGTCCTGCTGGCACACCCGTTGGAACCTCACATGCAGTGATACACGGCACAGAAGCTGTGCACCGTGCCGCACGTGCCGTTTGCAGCCACCTTCGCCATCTCAAACGCTTGGTTTGATCGCGTGCTGCAGGCGTTGCTCTCGATTCACCGCGCAGCTCTATTTGGCGACTCCTTTCACGCAGGCACACCGTGCATTCTAATCTAGTTCAATTCCCTTCCCACCGCACCACAGGAGAACAAGCGACTGAGCGAGCCGCTAACCGTGGCTCTTACCGACGTGGCCGAGTTGCATGCGCACCTCAGGGGGCAGGAGAAGGACCGCATGTCTCTCACCAACGCCAAGGCTAGGCTCCGAGTCATCGACGAGCAGGTGGGCCCGTCTATTCGGCACCCGACCGAGTGATGACCACGTTTACCTGCATATTGTTCTGTAGGCCGGGGGCGGCTGATGATGCTTGGTGACTACCACGCCATCCGGGAAGGGGTCACAGGGTCTATGAAACTACAACATGTTTGGGAGCGTGCCCATTTCTGAAGTAAGACCCGCTCCCTACCCGACCAACCTTCCAAAGGGATACTCATCATGGGTAGATTACCGACACGGCTTCCAATCCGCCACCCCCACCCCGAGCTCACGGCACCAACAAGTTGAAATACATTCATGTTGCCGAGGATCGATTGAGTCAAGCAAGACTGCGAGTAACGGAGCAAACACTCAAGATTACGTAGTTGTGAATTTTTCATGTTGAAGCCACTGTGTTCCCCTCCCCCCCTCCTCGGCTATACCCGCACCTTACTCCCCCCAAAACGTTGTTTCGGTTCACAGCTGTCAGAGGTGCGAGATAGCCACAAAGAACTGGAGGTAGATTTTGCGAGGGTGGTCGAGGAGAGGGACCAGCTATACGACACTTTCGAGGGTGCAGTGAGGGCCATTCAGCAGAAGAGCGACTTCAGGTGAACGAGCTTGGGGCGTGGGGGGGCGGAGGGGGGGGGGGGGGG